CAGCTACCATGACGGTGATTGGACGGATTTGGCGGGACGCCCAGTTATCAAGATGCTGATTGATGAGCCGTAGCAATATCGCGCCGTTGGTTGGCTGATTGTTTTTATCGGCATGCCGACTGGTGGTGGGCGGCTGGAATACTGTCACCGATTGACCTGTTACGGAGTCACTAGCAAGCCTGTTCCTATGTTACTGATTGGTCTGTTGTCGTGGCACGTATTAGCACGTTTTCTTGACGCTTATTGGCCTAATCACGAAGATGGGTGGGCGAGGAGAACTGTGAACCGACTATCACCATGCGAAGACTTGTGGAGTGACAGTGATGACGAGCGATCCGATCGCCGTATTGAAACACGTTGTTCCTGATGTGATAATTCTGTCTTGTGAGGTCTGATAAATGCTGCGTAGATCAGGATGTCTGTCACGGTGGGATGACGAAGGGAAGGCTGTGGGTCCCAGCTATGGTTGGTCTGGTCGGTGCTGCGAGGTCACCAGGCATTCCTGCCGTACGTCCGTGGCGGTGACGGCCGGAGCAGCGACGGGCGCTTGACCGGTCCGCGGCAGGAGAGACGAGTGACCTTGCGCGGCGCCTGGCGGCACGTTCGCCTCGCCACATCCTGGATATGTTGTAGCAGAGTGTGCAAGGCCTTCAGCGTGTGAGGTTTCCTCCAGGCACGGCTCTCGGTAGCAGAACACCAATGCAAGGTACCGCTCGGGCCAGGGGCGGTGAGCCGTCCTGAAGCGGTGCCGATGCGTTGAGTGCTGACACCACTGGTCGCTAGTTCGCCGATGAAAAACTGCAACCTTGGAGGTACCACTCTGCGTACTTTTTGGAAGGTTGGGCTCCAAAGAATTAGATATTGTCACACTTTATCTATGATCATGTCTTGAGAAAGGGGGCCAGCATCCCAGTGGTTGGAACGCGCATCCTCCTCCCTCCCCTCCCGCTTTCACATGCAGTTGTGTTAGGGAGCGTCGCAGTTGTTTGGCCCGTACCGAATACCTTGAAGTATAAAAGCTTCACACACGTGAAGCTAAATAGGGTCTCGGAATGTATTGGACCAGGACTTTATAATCCATGCGTTCAACCCACCATCCGCATAGCGTCATTCCAATTCAACAGACAACGAGCATCTGATAAATGGACACGACTGCAGAGCATGAATGGACACGAACTATTTCTAGCTACAAAATGTGCTCGGTACAGCAACCCCATGCCAGACTGGCCCTCTTTATATGGGTGTCGGACGACTGCCATGCATATATGCATACTGTACCCATACGGCGAAACCAGGGTGTGCGGCTTTTGGGGTCATGCCCCCCCCCCCCCCCCCCGATGGTGACAGGGATTCCTAATGGCGCCCGGCGCCGCGATACGGACTGATAGTTAAAGACGTCCGTAGTGCTTCCAAATCACCAGCAAACAGGCCCACGAGGCAACAAAATGACATCTCTGGCTTTTTACGCTTCCGACCCGAGTCCACAAGAGGCAGCAAAATGACCTCTAGCTTTTTACGCTTCCGATCCAGAGTCCAAAAGACGCAACAAAATGGCATCTCTAGCTTTTTACGCTTCCAATCCCGAGTCCACAAGAGGCAAAAGATGACCTCTAGCTTTTTACACTTGCGATCCCGAGTCCAAGAGCAGGACCCAAGCGATAAAGAGGTGCCCCTCGCCTGAAAAGGTATCCTATGACCTGACTCGGTCCCCGGCTAGGCGAAGCCTGGCCGCGCCTCTAAATTACACAGACTGTCTCCGTGCGACCCGAGCCCTAAACCACCGTACTTCTCACTTCCCCTTTTTCTTCCTACATTCTTCTTGTCCACGGCGACGGTAGAATAGATAAGCCGAAGGGCGTTCCTAGTGGAGGCCTACCGGTCGAGGGCCATTGTTCATTCATGGAGTGTCCCGTGATTGTGCCGTATGATGCGAAGACAGCGACAGATTAACACGCGCCCGGGTGGCCGGTTAAATACCCTTCGCTCGGGTGCGGGATCAATCTGACCCCCTGAGATCTAAAAAACTGAGGGAGCAAAAGACACCAAATTCACACGGCGGGCTGGCCTACATGTGCAGTCACTTGTGTCGAAAGTTGAGGCCCATAACTCATGAACTTGTGGCCCAAGACGGTGTCCAAAATGCACCCAGACCTCCTCATGGAACCAACTTGAACCTAGATGTTCACTCTAAGCAAAAGTGCACTGGCACTACTTTAAGGTCAGTGACCTTGTTTGACTTTGAAGGTCATTGTGACCATAAACCTACGCGATTGTTATAATTTTACGTTTGAACAAACGTCAAGCGTTACGTTAGGTGGCATGTTCCTGAAAGCAAAGCGTTGATCTGGGTCATTTCAGGTCAGTGGGCTACTTGACCTTAAAGATGTCCATGGAAGATGCCTGTTGCATTCCTCGTTATTGATAAGTTCGAAATGAGCACCAGAATCTGCCCCTTACAGGCAGGTCTTGAGTAAAAACAAGTTGGTTTAGGACATGGTTTGACCTTTCCACCTGACTCCAAGTCAATAAATTGTGTTGCAATCCTAAATTAAAACGTGTGTGAAGTAAGCAACAGTTTGATATTCGCATTCGGCAGAAATCGGCTACTCCCTTGGTTTTCACGAAACCTATGCAAACCAAAGCACAAAGTGCAGTGACAACATACGCAAAAGTTTTTTTTGTAGGCCATCGAGTGGTCTGAGCTCCAGAGATCATAAGCGATTCGATAGCGGTATATTATAGCATGGCACATATGTACCATTCGATCGGGAATATTACGCAGAATCCAAAAAAAAGAACTCAAAAGAGTCCTGAGCCAAACAGATTGAAAGATATTCTCTTGAAATATCTTAGAGAGAGAGAGAGAGAGAGAGAGAGAGAGAGAGAGAGAGAGAGAGAGAGAGAGATGAGAGAGAGAGAGGAGAGATAGAGAGAGAGAGAGAGAGAGATAGAGATAGAGATATAGGAGA